TCGACCAGACATGAGTACACGTTGCAATTGACGTTTCTGCATCTTTGGAATAAGTCCTGTACTGAGGACAGAGCCTCTTTCCTACTAACAGCATTTATGAACCTTAACTGCTTGGGGGAAATTTGATTTTCACACAGCTTGTAAATTTTAGTACAAATTATCTTTAGGAACAGTTTTAGATTATTCATGAGGCTCACCGTACGATATTCTTCGCGTTTTTGGGCTCCTGGCTTTTCTGGAAGTGCAACACTCTCAGACTTTAGTCATTCTGATATTATTTTTTCAGAGTTTTGATTTGTTTCAATCCAATATGATTGGATTCAATCCATTTATTTTTGTTCCCGGAATGCCATAACTTTTTGAAACACCTTGTATACTGCTTATCCATTCTTCTGGCATTTGTCCTACTTCCATAATTCTATAAAAACAAACTTGTTAGTCAACTTGTACCTATCTTTCTAAAATAGTGCCTTACCCAGAGTATCATCTAATCCAACTGCATTAGGGTTCTTTATTTTTTGAAGTTATTAAGCGTCTTAATCGTTTTTGATTTTAGTGACGGTTGATTTTAAATTTTCAATTTTCTTGCCTCTTAATAAATTTTTCGCCCCCCCCCCCCCCCAAATATGTATAAAAACATCTAATTCGGGGACAGTACCACAAAAATATGAAGTGTTTCTTCAAAAGTGATCTACAATGAAAATTATAACATTCTTACGCATCTTCTTTTTGTAATTTAACAATGAAAAAAACTTTTTAAAACTGACTTGAGCAATATATATTACAGGGCTTCTCGCACGGTCCTTAACGAAAAAGATAATCTGTCTTATAAGGGCATATCTCATTCAGTTCAATGAACGAGTAGACGTGACGTGATTTTCATATAAAAACTGGTATAAAATTGTTTACAATTTTAAAACATTTTTAAATATTGTCGTTGAAAATTTGGCTAGAAAGTGATTAGTAAAAGAAAGTGTGATTAGCTTATTGCACTTTTATCTATGAACATAATTAAAAATAGTTTATTAAAGGAAGATTACTGGAAAAGAAAAGGCGATAAAATCTATACCAAAATGATTCACTAAGACAAAAATTATCATTAAATTTTGGTTTCTTTCTAATAAAAAACATTTAAAATATAAAATGTTGTATATTTAAAACTATAGAGATTTTCTTCTTCTCATGGCGTCATCTCCTTTTGAAGGTTGGCGATCCAAATGGCAATTGTGGTTTTGGAAACTACTGCGCGAAAGATTTCTGCGAATGAGTCGTCTAACCATCTCCTCAGGTTTTTCAGCCACGAGTTCTGGAGTCTTCCTACTGATCTTTTGCCCTGTACTTTTCCTTCCAGTATAACTTGAAGTAGTTCATATCTTTCGCCTTTCAACACATGACCCAAGTATTGCATTTTCCTTTCTTTGATTATTCTTAGTAATTCTTTTTGTTTTCACATTCGACGAAGTACCTCAAAATTAGTAACTCTTTGTACCCATGGAATTCTCAACATTCGTCTGTATATATACATCTCAAAGGCATCTATTCTTTTCTCTATTTTAGAGTCCATTGTCCAACTTTCACATCCATACAGTAAGACAGAATAAACGTAACATTCGCAAGTCTTGTTCGTCAACTCCAGTTGTTCTCAAAATTTCGATCATCTTTTGATGACAGTCAAATGCTTTTCGATAGTCAATAAAACATGCATATACATCTACATTCATGTCTTTGCATCGTTGCGTTAACATATTTAAATCAAAAAGAGCCTCTCGTGTTCCCAATCCGTTTCGAAATCCGAATTGAGTGTCACTCACCTGGAACTTGCACTTCTTGTAAATTCGTGTATGGATAATTCTGAAAAAAGTTTTAAGGAGATGAGACATCAAGCTTCTTCTTCTTCTTCAGTGCCTTATCCGGTTTGGATGTTGGCGATCATCAAGGCTATCATGGTTTTGTTGACAGCTCTGCGAAACAGCTCCGCTGAGGTCATCCCAAACCATTGTCGGAGATTTTTCAACCACGAGATACGACGACGTCCCGGTCCTCTTCTGCCAAATACTTTTCCCTGCATAACGAGTTGAAGAATTCGATATTTTTCTTCGTTCCGCATCACGTGGCCGAGGTACTCAAGCTTACGTTGTTTAACATCAAGCTTAATATTCGATAATCATAGCATTGTGAGGAATTCGATCTTTTTGGTAATGCTACGAATGTTGATTTTAGCCAGTCTGTTGGTATTTTACCTGTATCATATATCTTATTGAATAGTGCTGTTATTAAGTCTAGGCTTGTACTTTCGTTATCTGCAATTAGTATTTCGACATTGATTTTGTCTGGACCGGTGGCTTTTTCATCTTTCTGAGATTTTACTGCGTTAATCACTTCTTCTTTGGTTATTTCTGGGCTTTTTTCATTTATTCGATTATCTGTGGATGGTGGAGAACACAGTATATCGTCGTCAAAAAGAGTTTGTATGTATTCTTTCCATCTCTCTAGTTTGTCTTCTGTATCCATAATTATTTCGTTATTATCATTTTTTAATATTCTTGGTTGTCTCTTTTTGTCATTTTTGTTACTTTTTTATGAATATTAAAGGTGTCGTATTTTTCCTAAAGTTGTTCGATTTCTAGGTATTTTGTTGATATCCAGTTTTCTTTCGCCTCCCTGCACTTTTTTCTAATGATTTTATTGATTCGCTTGTATTCTATTGGGCTTGTTTTATGGTTTCGTCTTACGTCCATCAGGTCCATGATCTCTTGCGTTATCGATTCTTGTTTGTTGTTGTGTTTTATGAACCCGATGTCTTCTTTTTTGTATCTTTGTTTTTAGAGCAGTCCATGTCACTTCAATGTCTGTCTGTACCAAGTTTTCGATCATTTTTATTTTTTCCTCAAGCTTGATACTTATTTTTTTTTTCTATTCAGGGTTCTTCAGTTGTGAGATGTCTATTTTAATGTCACTATTTTCATTTTGACTTTGAGAAATCTTTTTAATCTAAAACTTAGATATAATAGAAATTTTGTTACTCAAAAAAAGATGGAGTTGATAGATGAATTGTCGATTTCTAACATTTTTTCCTTCTAAAACCATCAAGTCTGGAAAATATTTTCTAAAACCACGCCACTGAAGCATCTATAAATACCAAATCTTACATAATATTAACAAATATGAATTTCTTTGATCGACTTAAATATTGTTTGTATATTAAATAACGTTATTATGTGAGAATGAAAATGAAAGTGGTAAAGAAAGTGAGCCAACGTTGCTTCTCTGACAACGCGTTTGTGGGCCATGCTGACCATGGCCCTATATTCACACCGAATTTAAATAAAATTTAATAGCATCTTGTAGAGCTTTTAAGAGATGGGCTGAGTTCTTTTTCGATCTTAATGGTGCGCAGTTAATTAATTAATTAATAATTTACGTAGACTAGCGTCATAATTTAGCTTATAAATAAATTTGTCTACTAACGGATGTAAGCCTCCTTTGAATGGTTTCATAGCTCCCCATCTTTTGCAATATATATGGAGTTTAATACTTCCCCTTCCAATCCATTTATTTGGATAACTTGCATACAAATAATCTCGAACTCGTCTGGAAAAGTGCGCAGGACACCTGTCATGTTGTAATATCATATCTCGTCTTGTTTGTAAGGAAATATCTTACAATAAAACAGGCAACTGATTTTCCAGAAAATCCAAATATGTTTCGTCGTTTAAAGTTGTATCAAAGAAATATGGACCTACGATCTTTCTATCAACTTTACCACAGCAAACATTAAGACTCCATCTACCTTGAACCTGCACGTCATGTAGACAGTGCGGATTTTCTTCAGCCCAATATTATGCAGATTAACACCACCCGCACTATTAAACGTAGCCGCGTCTGTCCACAAAATCTTTGACATGATATGCGGTTGTTCTTCTAGCAGACCTAACATCCAATTGCAGTAATCCAGCCTTGCATCAAAATCTCTCTCATGTAAAGCTTGGTGGAGAACAATCATATACAATTCTGCATTTGATATACTCATAACGAATTATTAGTACTGCTAATTAATTACTAATATTACCAATATTAATATCTATTGAAAAAAGTGCAATCTTTAATGCGAATTATAATACATATAACACTTCTTAACCATGTTTTGACTGCTTTCAATAAATAAACAATATGAACTCCCCGTCAAATTCATTGTCGTAGCCTACTTAGTTTCGAAAAAACTATTTTTAATCATATAAAATAATAATGGTCAAAATAGGTATCAACATTAAGATTCTTCTCCTATAAAAAAATTGAAAATACCTACTGACTTATTTTTTAATTTAATTTATAATACAGGGTGAGTCAATACTATACTTACTTATGTTTATGCATTTTTATTCATATCTCGATTTTGACAAAAGCTATTAACATGTGGTTTGCGCCATTTTGTTACCAATTTATTCCAGTTCCATTATAATTTACAATAAATAGGTGTTTCCATTAAACATTTTGAAGAAAAACAAACTTTATTTTCTTCCATTCGAAATTACCCTCTACCTATAACAATTATAACTAAATGCAATTATTTCATAGTAGACAGTACATCAAATGAACTTTATCCGATTAGCTATGATAATTGCTGACCTCTGTCACGAAGATTACACTTTAAGAAGAAGATTGGGTATTTGGGATATTTTTAAATATACACCTACCACGCTCTCCAGGTCGGTTGTTAAACTGGGGGTACTTTAATAAAACTAGTTGAAATAATTATATTTTATCGTCAGTAAACGATGATGATTTGTAATCAATCCATAATCCAATCCGCAAACGTTTTTAAAAAATTCCTGATATAAAAATTGTAAATAATTGAAATAACCTGTATTTTTAATGACATTTATAAGTTATATCAAATATTGGCAATTTTTCTTTTAGGTATTTTTAAAAACGATTTCCGGATGGTAAATCGAAACGGTGATATATTATTCTGTTGTATTTACGTCACTTTTTCGTTTCAGTTTTGCTTTAATGACCTACTGCTGGGCCCACCATCCAGCAGAAAGACCACATGTCAACCAGATGCTGGCCTTTCTTCAGGAGTTCTACACAGCTTTGTGCAGATTCGTCTAAATAGACTAAACACAATTAACATCAGTGTAAGTAGAAAATAAGTTTCTGTATCGGATATTCGCGTAAGTTATTCCCGACTTGAATAAAGCAACTTTCTAATGAATCTAAAAAGCCACTAAATGCAATAAATCCAGTAAACTAAATCAGATACACTTTAACCAGTTACATAAAATTACAAAGACATCACAGTTGGCAGGTTTGAACCTGTAAAACCCTTCCGAAATGTTTAAAAGTTCAAAAAATGCATCATGCACGAATTCTTTGTTTAAGTTAGGAATTTCTTAGGGGAATAATCGTGAATTGCTTAATTTTATTGTAGTGGTAATATTGAAGGAAATTGTATCAGGGTTATTGATGTAACTAACTATTTATTATATATGGTTTACTATTATATATACCTAACTTAACCATAATTGTATAAGCACTAGGTGTAATAATAAAAGCATATTCAATTGATTTGCGAGTCATTTTATTTCCATAAAGTTACAGAGTATATCCATGTTCCTATTTTCATGTTATAGACATAAAAAAGCTGTTGATTTAATGTTTCTATTTTTTACTTCGCAATCTGTTAGTTTTTTAGTCTTTATGCATGAATTTTAAAATTGCTTTAGTTATAGCTACAGCTATTTCTTGCATTTTTCTCCTAGATACATTTTTGTATTTATATTGCTTTGCATTAAAATAGGACGGCTGCGTTGTCGTCGTATTCTATATTATTAATTAATCTACGAAACACAGTAAGCAAACAAGTGACAGTAGAAAAAGAATCAAGATGGCTGAAGCTGAGATACATACAACAAATAAAAAATGATAAAACCTTAGGAAAAAAAAAAAAATGGAGAAAAAAAGCAGGAAACATCAGATTGAACAAAAATCCGGCAACAGGCCAATACCAAAAGGGTTGTCGAGCCAGTGATGAAGATGATTGTTTTGGTTTCATTTTCTTGTTCTTATACTCTATCACTTTATTCCTTTCTCCTGTTTTTATCATATAGTTTAAGCATCCCAAGCCAATATAAACTTATTTGCAGTAAAATAGGAAATAAAACTGTTGTCATCGCTAATACAAATGCTTAAAAAATAATTAATAATACAAGTCAAAAGATGAAAAAAGGAAAGTACACTGGAGTGCAAAATTAACCGGACACTCAGAATTTTCCTAAAAACTGACATTTAAAAAAGTTTAAGATATTCCCAAATTAGTATTTAATAATAAATAAAATTTGTAAGTAAAAATAATTATGACAAATCAAGAATTAAACAAAAAAAAATTCAAAAATTTAAAAATAGCAAAAATTGATTTTTTTAATTTTAATCATTTTTTAATAACCAGATATTTAGTAGGGTGTATTAAATCTACAAGTCCTAATTCGCCTCTCTCTCGAAATTCGCCATATTTCGGATTAGTGCCGCAAATTCTTCCTTATGGATCTTCTCCACTTCGTCACGAACTGCTTGCTGCAAGTTATTATTGCTTTGAAACTCAACAGGGTTACATCAAATACGTCGTCCCATAATATCATATTCAGGGGATATTCTGGGATTCATTTGATTTAAGTCTGGAATCCTTGAGTGAAATGGCAATAAAAGCATCCCAATTTCATCATCAGACGAAAGTTTTCTTTAACAAATAGGACAAATGATCTTCAAAATATTGTTTAATATACCTTTCAGCATTTAAATTGCTTCGTTGAATTGTTAGTCCCGTATGAGGCTCTATGGAAATACCTGCTCACAACATATCACCTCCATCAAATTAAACTTTGGGAGTAACGTAACATTGCTCATAGATAATGTTCACCAGCTCTCCTCCAAATCATAGGCCGCCCATCTGATGAGTGTTCTTTATTGGTCGATGATGAAGAGCACTGCACTCCAATGTTTAATACTTCAGTTAAAATGTATGCGAGCAATGTGTTAACGTTGGCTCTGATGATCTGCTGTTTATTCCGATGATCCGTTGTTCATAAAGGGCCCTTGACAGGTATTTTGGGCCTTAATTCAAATTCATTTAAGCATCTTCGAACGGTAACTGTGTTTCTATGGACATCATTTCATTTAATTGTTAAATAAGCACTGGTGCTGATAATGTGCAATAGTGCAAACGCTTGCAATCAAATAAAGCGATCTTCAACTTGACTTGTAGTTGTTTGTGTACTTTGATCTTTCTGTGTATTTTCCTGTTATCCGAAATCTTTGTATTGCATCAAATACTGTACTTCGAAATCCATCATCCTGTAAAGCAGCAGCTTGTGCTATTTCTTCTGGTATCATCATTTTGTTATTGCACTGTATGAAAAGAAAAAAATAAAAAAACACTAAAGCCAAACTTGTAAACACTTAAAATACCAAAATAAATTTAAAATAATGATGTTTAATTTAAGACTCTATTTCACATTAATAACAAAAAGTTTGTGTGTAGCTATTATTGTTTGTAAAAAATCATCTAAATAGTTGTAAAGAAGAAAAAATATTATCGTTAATAATACATAAAATAATGATCAAAAAGTCTGAAAATGAAAAAATATATAAAAATCTGAGTGTCCGGTTAATTTTGCACTCCAGTGTATTTTTGAATTGTGTAAACAATTTTAATTCCTAGCTGATCGCTTACGGTGTACACAGCCATCTTGAGAGCTCTGGTTAAATATTTAAGTATCCTACTAAAGGACATCATATTGTAAGAAAATTACAGAAATGCTGTTTCTATTTTATTTTTGTCAATCTTCTTTGTCAATGAAAAAACACAACGAAGACTCCACAAAAAATACACTAAAAAATTTGGCTATGGTACGGGTGTCAGAACCCGGTCATTTATTGTAGTTGAAGCAGCACATAGGTCTTCTTCTTCAAGTGCCATCTCCGCGGCAGAGGTCGGCAATCATCATAGCTATTCGGACTTTTGAGACCAGAAAATCGATGTTAACCACTCTTTGGGTAATACGCTTGAACTATAAATTTGGTTCAAGAGTGTCACTAAAACATCAATGTGCTTCTCATCTGCATGTCAGGTCCAGGGCTTTTCCCACTCTTCATTGTTTTTAATCCGTGTAATATTTCTTCTTTTGTAATATATGGGCCTATTTCTTCTAACGTAAGTTCTATATGCTCCAGATCTTCTCTTTCATCATCGAACAATTCGTCGATATATGTTGCCCATCTTTGTACTTTCTCGTCTGTATGTGTTATAGTAGTCCCGTGTCTATTCAGAATTGCACGAGTGGGATTTTGTTTTCTTAGTCCTCCCAGTTCTTTAACTTTCTTGTGTAGGTTCAACAGATCATATTTATTTTGAAGGTGTTCGATCTCTGCATTGCTCTTCAAAGTATTTTTCTTTTGCCCGCTTTATCATCTTATTACATGCAGGCGAATAGTATTCCACCGCTCTATTAGATTTTTTATTAACTATTACTGCCACGCCGTGTCTGTGTTGGTTATTCTCGTTACCGGAATAATATATTGTGGCTTCGTCTGTTGAAAAACAACCTGAGTTGGGCCACCTGGCTTCACTGATACGAACTACATCGATATTTAACCTGCTCATTTCTTGAGTAACATTGTGCATTTTACCAGACTGAAACATGCTCTGAACATTTCAGGTTCCTATTCTAGTGTTGAACAGTCTTATTTTTTCATCTACGTTCTTTTGACAAGGAATTCGCTGGTTAACGACCTGAGAGTCCTTGTCTTCTTCTCCCCTGCTGGATCTTGGCTTTCGAGGGCCTTTTAGGGTCTATAACCATGATGATTTTACTAGGACTATCCATGGGGATCTTTAATGTAGTGGTTTCCCCTTGTCTTCTACATCCTTATGCCGTTGACCACCTACCAATTCTTCAGCCCAGAGCTGTTGATTATTAAGTGTGGGATTGCTTATACCGGCAATTGGTCGGTGAAATTTTCACCATATCAGGCTACTCTCACTTAGTTTAGCCTGCAGACTAATGCAGTTGTCCGGGGTATGGCACTTGGAGCCCTAAGTGAGAGTTAGGTGTGTTAAGAAGACCAGTTATCAAGAACCATCTCCCGTCTATGACGCTCGATGTGGTCGTTCCGATAAAAGTTGCTACCTCTATATCAAAACTCTACATCCCAGCATTTACAGCAGATAGATGTACACTCCCTTTTGTGTTTTTTCATTGACAAAGAAAAAAAATAAAATAGAATCAGAATTTTTATGTAATTTACCATACGATCTCTCCGAGTAGGCGACTTAAATATTTGACCATAGCTCTGAAGATGGCTTTGTAAGTCGAAAGCGCTCAGCTAGGAATTAAAATTGTTTACACACTTCAAAAATCCCTTTTCCATCTTTGGATTTGTCGTAAGTGTGTACAAAAGCATATCAGGTATTTAATTAATTAATAATATATTAATTAGATATTATAATTAGTCAATATCAATAGTACATGTTAAATATAATTAGAGCTTTATACATATTGCTATATTTCTGTGATAAATTCTTTAAGAGCTTTTTCTGTTGTATGACAATATTTTAAAATTTAGCAACTATCTTTTGCTTACACCGGTCTAAATTTATAGAAATTATTTTTCTGTCTAAATCAGTTTCCAGAGAATGATTTTGAGGACATTTTATGTAAATATATGATAATTTAAAGATAATAATAAGGACAGCTCAATATATTAGGCAATAATAGAGAATAAGACTATGACTGATACTTTAACTTAAAATAAGGGAGGCACTGATAGGAAATAATTGTTTAATTTTAAATGTAAATATAACATAGGGTACGGTACTGTAATACTATATAGAGTAAGACTAAATGCTCAATATAAATTTAAGATAGCTAGATAGATAGAATTAAATTTCAAATGTAAATATAACAATAGGCAACACAACGATCTCATACATAAATTTAAAAAAAGGGGGAAATGTTATACGAGAGTTGGACAATGGCACTACCATGGAGTAAATTGTTTGAAGAAAAATTTATTTCCATCTCTCTGTTGTCCCGTTCTCCATAGTTTAGGCCCCTCTTACTCATGGCGTCGTCTACTTCTTTCATCCCCATCTTCCGGGTCGTCTTCTTTTCCTCCTTCCTATCGGGCTCCATTTCTGTTGCTACTATCTTACTGCTGTTTTTCTTGTTTATAATCCAATTTTCAGCCACATATGTCATAAAACTTCCCACTACTATTTTATAAATCTGTGTTTTTATCTTCATAGTTGGGTCATTATCCTTTTCCTTGATTGTTACGTTGACGTCAATCTGTAGATCTTCTATGTCTTCTTCACTTGTAGATAGGTACTCTGTATTCGCAACCAGAATCTGTTCACAAAACAGCTCAAGTCATATCATCTTCTAATGTGATGTTCTTCATCTCGGTTCCTAGTGGCAGATACTTAGCTGTATTCATTTCAAACCTTTACTTTCTATATTTCTCTTGGAGTTAACGTTAATATATAGGTATTTGTTTCATACCGGTACA